AAAAAAAAAAAAAAAAAAAAAGATGGTGGTGCTGGTCCTGATCTTAGATCAAGTGTTTTAATAATTTTAATTTAATTGCCAAATTACCTTCCTAAATTTTCATGAAAAAACTCAGGAAGACAGTGCCTTTCATCACTTTCATATAGTTTGATGGCAGAGATGAAAATAAAGAAGTATTTCTGATAATACATGATTGTCATTTTATCTCTATGGAAAACTATCTTTTAACAATTATTATTATAATTATATTATGATTTTAATGAAGAGACTGAGCAGAATGGTCCTGTAAGAAACATTGCCCTGTCCCCCTTTAGCATGTATTGTGAAGTGTGGGCCTTAGGTCTCTGAAGTCGTTTTCATTTTCCCTTGCAGTTCAGCTCTGGACTGTTGGAAACTATCACTGGTATCTCAAACAAAGTCTGCCCTTCAGCACCTGTGGGAAGAGCAAGATTGTGTCACTGATGTGGGACCTGGTCACTCCATACCGGCTGCATGTTTTATGTCAGGGCTGGCATTATCTTTGTTATGACTGGCACTGGACAACTGATCGGAGCTTGGGAGATAATTCAAGTGACCTGGCGAATGTGGCTGTCATTGATGGAAGTAAGCTACTGGGAAGTACATCCATGATCCTGCAATGGATCGTGGGCCCAGGGCCTGCAGATGTGGTGGTTTTACTAGAACAAGAGGGAATCTTTGATTTGCTTGTTTGGTTTATTTTTACTTATTTGTTTTATTTTGTGTTGAATGCCCGTAGGTAGGGTTTATACTCTTTCAAGAACCATTGTATCTCCTCCCCAGACCGATTTTCTATTGTACTGTGTCTATGGCCTTCATACATTTACTTTTCTGTCCTTTAAAGACTTTGAACATTTTGACTTTGGGTAGAAGGAAGATAATACAACAGTCTGTGGGATTAGGTGTGTTAGCCTTATCTGATTGCCTCGACACAGATTTATGGTGACCCTTGTACCTCTCCACTTGTGTTACTTTTTTTCCTGATATAAATACTAGCTAATTAAATGACTCTTTGGTGTGTTCAATTATTGTCATGGACATCTGTCAAGTATGAGGATTAGGTTTATGTTTTATAATTAGGTGGAGGGATTTTGGGGAAAGAGAGAGTAGGAGAGCAGGATTGGGGAGAGAGATCTTTACACAAATGGATGGTTTACTCATTGCTATTAACAAGAGTACACTTACTTCTGAGGTTGTAATGTGAGTTGGTATGTTAATTCATGTTCTGTAATACTGATTTATAATCATATGTTCTGTGTAGAGAACTTAATCATAGCTGCCTATTACCAAGTGAATATGCATAAGAAAGTGCTTTAAGGATTTTGAGGGCCTTGGTTTCCTTAGTTTAATGTGGCTTGGTTGCAGGCCTAGGTTTAAAGCTAGAGCTCTGACCTCTTGGCCTTTTTGGCTTAGGCCCTGGCACCTGAAACTCCATTTTTAGTACCTTGGTGTTTAGCTGACTAAATTGAATATCCATATGTCTAATGCTCCTCTTTTTTTCTTTTCACATGCAGAGAAGGTATTGGTAACAGTCTTCAGGCAGACTGTGGTTCCACCTCCCATGTGTACCTACCAATTGCTGCTCCCCCATCCTGTGAATCAAGTCACGTTTTCTACATACCCTGGAAAGAGTAATGACCTTGCTGTCATGGATGCCAGTAACCAGATTTCTATATATAAGTGTGGTATGTTAAAAAACTATTAGCACAATATTCTGAATCAAGTCCCTCCTTTTACACAAAAGCAAATTATAGTTTAGTGTTTCCTTAGCTCCAGTGTTTCTAAAAATTTTGAAATCAGATCAGAAAATTTGATCTGATTTCATTATCATTAGGATATTTTATTGACTTTTTTTTTTTTTTTTTAAATCTTACTCTGGCCATTGTTCATAAGAACAATTCCTTTGCCTTACTGAACTTCACGAGTCATTCAGTTGTTTTAATCGTAACTAACCCTGGAGATGCACAGTGTCCT